CTTGTGCATACTCTTGTAAATATAGGGTGCTTGGTACAATTCCTACATACATATTCAAATAGCTATCATTAATGGCGGCCGCTGTGGCCGAGTTTTTTTGGGGAGCGTACTACTCCATAGAACCTGGGTTCGATCCCTGGTCCGAGCAACATATAAAATAGAAAAAAGTGTTTCAAAACATTTATTTAGTCTAGAAAGAGAGTCCCAATTAGTAGGGGTTTTGAAACTGCATGTGTAGAAAGAAGTACATTTTGAAACTATTGATTATACTATATTAACCTTCAGTTGTCTATCTGTTCGTCGAGGCTATTTGTCCCAAATTTGCAATTTTAATAAATTTAGTTTACTAAAGAAAAATCAAAAGAAACTCTTATTCCCAGTTATAATTTTTATTTATCCCATTTCCAAATATGGTAGTTTGTAAACTCAAAAAAGGTTGATTTTCTTGTCTTTTTTAAATGCGATTTGAATATTTCCTAATTTCCTTTTTAATACAAAACAAAAACTTTTTTTGCTATTTTTCACAACCGTAAGTTATTTACTCTGGGTTCTCACACACGAATGCTACGTTGTTGTGTGACAACTTGTAAGATTGGTAGAGCAGGCAGATTGTCTCAAACATGCCGGAATTATACCAGGTGAAATAATTAGAGCGAGAAGACAGATTTTGACATTGCCTTATATGAAAAATTGCCTTTAAAATTTTACTATAAGGCAGCCGAATACCACAAAATGAACAGAGAATGCTGCCTCATTACTTTACCGGTTTACTGCGCCATGGTCTCATACGGCATAGCAAGTCTGTGTCAGAGAACGTCACTATATTCGTTGACAGGCAGGCGGCATTGAAAAATTTGGCTGCAGGGCGGTAAAGTCGAAAGCAGTTCGGAAATGTCCTGCTACGCTGGCTTCAGGTCAAAGCCTGTATTACCTGGGTTCCTGTACGAAATAGTCAATGAGATATTTTGCTAGACACGGCTCGGAAATGCAAATTAGCGAAGCTGATAACCCCTTACTGCCACCGATTTCTTTTCTGCTTAGGGGATCGATGAATAATACCACTGCCCTAACTAATGACCTCTGCATCAATCGGGACCACTGTGAAATCTCAAGATACTTGTGGTCGGGTGTCAATAAGAGTCGTACTGAGGAACTATTAACACTAAACAAATCTGCAGTAATGGCCCTTACCAATGCTTTATCGATGGCGTATACCAAAAAGCTCCCTCTACTTAAGTTGTCGGGATGATGATGAAAAGGAAGTTCTCCAGAAAATGCGTCTCAAGCATTTGCGATCACGCTTTTTTAATATCTTATGCGACATAGCGGAGGTAAACATATCGTACACGCACGGCTTCATTCGGGATCGTAAATGGTTTGGCATACCCTGTACTGACAGTGTGGATTAATTTCGGTCAGAAAGATATGCCTTCTCCTAGCACTAACAGAGAGCATTCACAATGGGAAAATCGGCCTCCGAGTGGACGTAAGAGTCATTCATATGCGACTGCCTGACCTTGCTTAACCTATGATTGGCCTCAAGCAAACCAACACAAACACTGTACTCGAAAATTTTCATAATTTTATTTCCTACATAATGTGAAAAGGAAGATCACGAAAGTGAACTGATTTTAGTGAGTTTCTAATCATCAATCTAAAGATCATTAATATGCTTAAAAATGCGCAAAAAGTAATTTTTCTTGTTCAAAAGTCCGAAAGCTTTCAAATATGAATGTATATTGTTTAATGGAACGCTTAAAGCAAAACTCCTTCCACGTTCATTGAAAAGGGAATACAAATGCACCTTTTTCGAGAGTCTAACCAGCACAATATTTTACATAACTTTAAGGTTCTTTGTGTACCCGTCTACTCACCTAAAGCGTTCAGCTCGAAGGCCTGACTAATTTTCGGCTCCGACGAAACTTGGCATTCATACACATCAGAGTCTCGCAGCTGCACAGATGCAATTTTCAACGACCACTCAACGGAGTCTTCACAATGCAAAGCCTCAAAGCGCTGGTCGTTCGTGTAGGTCATCACGCCGATGGTCAGGATGTGTAAGTCACGTTGACGTATCCAAGTGACCTGCAGTAAATGACAAACGAATTGTGCGTGCGGGAAAGACAAACAAAAACAAAGCATCAAAAACAACATCAACGGCAACAACAAAAGGCAGAGTGAATAGCTGGAAAATAGGTTAACACAGCAGGATGGAAGTTAATTAGCCTGCAGGTAGAGCATCAGGCGAGAAAATGAGAAAATTATAATTGCGGTGAGTTGGAGAAGGAGCTGCGAGGTAGTGGGTGAAGCGACAAACTTCAGCTGGATATGGAAAACTTACTGCGCGATCCCCCAAATTTCGTACACGACAATGTAATTTTGCAGTCCGTCCGACAGCAACGACAACACTTCTCTGCGTGGAGTTCTCAAAGTAGGGTGCCGGCGTCGGTGGCGAAACAGCTTTCTTGTTTAGCTTTTTGGCAGATCTCTGCAGCTGCTGGCGATGTGCGTATTCGTGTTGCTGCTTCTTTGTGAAAATTTTGTGCAGCAGCTCATCGTTCTCCATCCATGTCGGTTGAGGTGCTGAAAAGGAAATAAGAAAAGTAGTAAAAATATATAACATAAATTATGAGGCAGTTCAAATTTTATTAGCGAAATGAGGCGACGTAAAATTTTCTGCTTTCTGTTTGAAGTAGCAATAAATGCTAATGCTGGCGGAAATATGCCTCAATACAAATACATAATTCTATTTAACGCCTTTTGAGCGCCACATCCCAGCACAGATCCGCTCATGCGCCAGCCAGCAACTTTTGTGCCTATTTATTATGTCATCGAACGGCAACGCCTCGTTTGCATGGCATTAGGCGGCAATAAAATTTTATTCGCAAAATGTGGCGCAGTGTCATTACGCAGAAACACGTATGAGAGTGTGTGTGTGTGTGCGTGTGGCGGCCTAAGTTCAGTGCACTACTTACCAACTTTTTTTATACGTATATCGGACTTTTATTGTTTTGCCTAGCAATGAATATCATTAAGCGCCAAAGTAACCACAAACGCTGGAGGAAAAGTGGAATACAATTTAAGCAAAATCGAAGGACAAGCCGCAAATGATGGCTTAGTAAGCTTCTCAGCAGATCGCTTTTGTATGTAAATCTTAATTTATATTCACACCAAAATGGGCACGCCTTAAAGTATGCCACAATAGTTTTCTAGTTCAAATGTCCTTGCAAAGAAGGAGCAACAAGAAGAGCCGAGGAAGAGGAGCAAAGGGCCATGGAATGAATGAAATCACAATTGTCACAAAACCAGCAATAAATGGCACAACAACAACACCAATCAAAGTTTGCAGATGAAATCAACGAAAATTCAATGAATAATTTTCGCTTTCGAAAAACGCCCAACCCAATAAAACTAAATAAATACGAGTATCTAACTACAACAAAAAAATAAAATAAATGTAGCGACGACATTGTTTTTGAAAAGTTTCGATGTCATTTGCCAGCTGGTAGTGCCCGGCGGCGCTTTCCGCACTCAATTGTTTTATTTTTATGTGCTGCCAGTTGTTTTCCACTTTTACTTTCCTTTTCTACTTTTACCTCTTCCTTCCGCTTGGCCCCCGCAGCAGCTCGTATGCCACTTTGCCTATGTGTTTTTTTTGTTTTTTGTTTCTATGTTGTCTCGACTGCTACTAATAAACACAGTCGCCCATACTCCGATATATATATATATATATATATATTTGTAATCAGCAAGTGGATGGCAAAAGTAGGAAAATGCGCTATTTAGAGCAGCCGCAAGGGATAGCGGTTAACAGGCAACTGAAAGGCGCTGACAGTTGTCGTTTCGAGGTGGTCCCGCTTATATTGGCAGTGCAAGGATTTATCTACATATTTACTTGACGGCACATTTATATTAAATTATATTTACATATTTTCAGGTACCAACACGTATGTATGTATGTATGAGTACAAATCGATGGTCTGAAATATCGCACACAACTTTTCAAACTCTAAAAAATATGTGATAAAAAATCCTGGTAGCACTACGAGAATGCAAAAACCCTTCAAAGTACGTTCGAAAATTTTTTTGCTATCCGGAAATATGTACTTAAAAAGATTTTCCAAAAATCAACGCGATTTTCCAGCAACTGAAAACTTGCACTTTGTTAAAGCAAAGTTCTAATAAAAAAATTTCAGAACAAAATAAACTTTGCATAATTTCTGTTAAATAATAAGCTCTACTTTTATGAAAAAAAACAACATTTTTCTATTGAGCTCGAGGCCGTTTTCTAATGAAAATTTATTGTGGAAAAGCAACAATAATTTGAAAAAATTGTAGAAGTGATAGCTATTTTGGAAATCACCACATTTCCTCATCAGACTTCCTCAGCGAGATTCGAACCGATGACCCCAGCTGACTCAGCCAGTTGCCCAGGCACTGTGCTTAGTTCGCCTTATAAACTGTTGTTGCTTTTTTCACTTTTTTCATGATCGTAGTCGGCGATCAAGCGCAGCTATTCCAGTGCCCCGAAATAGCTATCAATTCTACCATTTTTTCAAATAGTTGTTGCTTTTCCACAATAGTTTTTCATTAAAAAACGGCCTGAAGTTCAATAAAAAATTGTTGAATATAATTGTTATAAGGCCATAAAAAATTACGACGATATTAATTTGTCCGACAATAGTACTCATTGTATTTACGCTTTTGTAATACATAAAGAAAAATAAAAATAATAGATCCAGCCCTGCAAAAGCGCTAAATGCTATCTTCAATTTAATTCCTATTAATCTCACCTGAAAGAAGTGGCTATGAAATCGGCAATCAGACTCAGAGGATCAGGCCTTTGTGGGACTAGGCAATTCGGACATGGGTTGATCATAAATCAAATGCAATTAAGTAGGACGACAGCCTGAATGGCAGGCAATTTGTACTTCAGCTGTAATATGCAAGTTCTATTTCCGTCCAAAAGGGAGTAGAGAAGGGACCGAGTGGCCGACCCACAGGCGATCTCTCTATACATCAACGGATCCAAGATGAATTGCAGTGTGGGGCCGGGAGTCTACTCCGAGGAACTCGGCGTTGCTCTGTCTCTGCGATTTTTAAATGACACAAGCATCTTCTAAGCGGTAGTTCTATGGATTGTACAACCCCTTAAATTCCTAAGCAACCGTTAACATAACTTAAACCTTGCTGCTTTTTTATCGGTAACTATAAAGTTAGTTTTTCGCAATAGGCAGCTAGTAAAACCTCTATATCTATGACACAAATAAATTGTACACCCTAAATATCTAACCTCAGCCAAAGTCCTACAGTTTTGTAATATTTTTATGCATTTTAAATTTTTTTCTGTTTCATGCTTAAACTATTACTATTTCGCCAAAGTTCATCTTTTTCTGGCAATAATATATTTTTTTTATTTGCTTTTAGTTGCCTAAAAGTGAGAGGAATTTTTAGTTACTTCTGTTATCGAGTCAGAGAAATCTGGGATGGATTCTTTGTCATCATAGCCAGATAGTTAAATGGTTAATTCAAAATGGAAGCTCTGTCTTACTAAAATATTTTAAGAAACTCACATTTGCATAAAAACCTATGCACATCCGCTTTGTAAATTCGAAGCTAACTATTTCCTCTTTCGCCTTTACATATACATACATATGCACGTATATAGTTCGGTGCACAAATTATAGCCTATTTATGTACTTAACTATGCATATATGTACACGAGACACTTGTATACATATTTACGATATTATCATAAAAGAAAGATGAAATCCTACTTCATCATGATAACAAAATCCACTTTGAGGCTGAGCTAATGTTTTAACTAAACCAAAATTTCCATATTTCATTAAGTAAACTAGAAAATTAGAGTAGATGCTCTTAGTTATCAACACACACACATTAGAATGCATGCAAACGTATTTATACGCTGGGAAGTGAAGCAAGAGCCAAAATGCAGCCATCGAATATGTATTAGATATGTATGTGTGTATATGCTTACTCTAATCAAATCAAAATTCAAGTAGTAAGTAGTATATTAGCGTGGGCCGAAAATTCGCTCCTTTAGAATTTTGATTGGTAATAGCAAAAATATGATTTATAATGCTTTAAAAAAAACTGTGTGAAATTTGGATTTTTTTGGTCATTATCCTAGGCTCGCCCAAATCCATCAAAGTTCAATATGCTCAAAAAATAAAAATTACTAAATAAATAAATAAATAAATTTTTTTAATAAAATTGCATTAATCTTCGAAAGTATTAGTCCTACACAATTTGGTATATGGACCTTTTTTTGTAGAGAATGGAAGTTAGCTAGGAAAACAATTTTTTTAGTACTAGAAATTTGATGGACGAAAAAAGCGGATTTTCGGCGCACACTAATGCATATGAATACACATTAGAGAGGCGAAGCATCAGATGCATTAATGATGAAAATAATAACGTTGGGTAAGGTTAGTGCAGATTTTGAGTTTCAAGCAACTGAAGCAACTGTATTTAATATGGTTTAGAGAGACGTGTGGGATAAGCCTGCAACTACATACATACATACAAGCTTTAAAGCGAGGAAAGTTGTGAAGAAAAAGAACTCCGTAAATCTATGAGTAGGTATAAAACTTAATAATGATATATTGGCTTTCACTCTTTTCCTAAGTGTCGGGCCCGAACTCGCCTCCACTTTGTGGTGTGGTCTGGATGTAATAAGACAAATTATGGGAGCTAGAATTTTACGCTGCCTCCATATGTAACAAAAGAATTTTTTACTCATTTAGAACTTTCGCCCATTAATTTTAGAATTTATCAGACTTTCAAAATTTAAAATAGCTAAATTTTCTAACAAAATGAAATGAAATATTCATTGAATTTTCCACAACACTAAAAACACCAGCCACAACCATGCCCGACTGCCTTTCAAAACCAGTTAGCTACCAAAAATATTGAATATTTACCATTCAGACATTCAGATAAGCGGATAAAATGCGTGACATTGCACAAGGCATACGTTTCAGTGCCAAAAACAGTGAAGCCAAGCCGTGTCCAGTGTCCAGTTCATTGCAGGTCAGACAAAGTAGCTGAATAAATAACGGACAGAGTCAGGAAGGCACAGCGCATTTGGTTATCAATATAAGTATGTACATATGTATGTGTGCGAGTATGCACGGATTTCCCTGTTGTATTGCACGTTGCAGTGATTCCAAATAGTAACAAAAAGAAGCGCATCGCATATGGCAACTAACCAGACGCCATGCACCGTTGGCAACAAAATGAATAGCAAACACTTATGTATGTATGTGCGTAGATATGTGTTTATGTGTGCCGATGAACGCTAAAATAAATTCAGGTGCGGAAAATATGTGTGTATGTATGTACATATGTATGTATACATAGAGGTTCATGTACTGCAAGTGTAGCACTGCCAACATTGCCGCCATGAAAAACTGACATTATTAATGTTGCATACCATTAGGCGCGAATAAGGCTTTTACGTGTAGGTATTCATGGAAAACACGCCGAATAGAAAGATGTAATGAATGTATTCCACACGTGGCCGAAGACTACGCACCATTCGGAGCGTCGAATTAAG